GAGGACAAGCTTACCAAGGGAGTCAAACACCTAATAGGAATGAAATTTATAACTGTTGGGCAAAAGCGGTAAAATTATTCAAAACATATACATACTGATAGAACAAAAAACTTAGAATATACTACAGATAGAATGAACTTGAAAAACCTTGGAAAACACATAGTAAGCCGAGGTAAGGACATAGATTACTTCTGTTTCCGATAAAACTAAAGAAGCAGTCTACCAAACAGAGAAATCAGAATAGATTTTTCGGCACAGCAGTAGTACTGTTGTCACGTGAGAACACACCAGAACAGTGAGAAAGAGAAAATCAAGTTTCCAAAGTACTAATTGTTCGCAAATTAGTGCATTCATTTTATCTTCTGTTCTGGTGTTAAGCTATCGTTTAAGCTCTGAAGTAGAGCATGATATTCTAATCAACCAAAATGATTAGTTCTAGTTTATTAAATAGGTATTTGAGGGTTGCAGATGTTAGAGTAGAAGGACTATGAACACGTCTATAAACCAATTGACTTCGGGTCCTAAGCACTATCCCAAACCGTTTATCGAAAAGACGAAGACTGGATTGACCAAATGAAATTAGTGTATTTGCTAGCAATTTCGTGGTATCGAAAGAATGCACAAAAGTTCCAGAGAATTGGGTGAAGGTACAAAATAGAGAAAACAAAATGTTGACTTCTATGAGGAACGAGTGAATAAATTTCTCGAATGATATTTAGATTAATGAAACCACAGCTATCACCTTATCTCGTTAACTTAAAAAGTTTACTCACGGATTTCGAGTGAAAAGTCTATTTTGCGATGTGACTGACTCCTAAGTTTGCTTAGAATTAGGATTCTAGTTGAAAAAATCATCTTTCATAACTTTCTCCTCTAACTCATACCTACCAGGAATTAAGAAACCAGTTGCTAGTATTAACATGAATCTACTCATGAATTTAGAAGTCAGGAAAAGAGGAAGACCAAAGAACACATTAGGCCGAGAAATAGAGAAAGACATGAGGAAAATGAACAAAAGTTGAACAAAACTGGAAAGGGAAGCCCAGGACAGAGTAGGTTGGAGAAAACTGGTCGGCGGCCTATGACCCACTGGGGGTAACAGGCGAAAGTATTTCAGTAACCAATACGAGAGTAAAGTTGCTGATTGTCTGTGTTGAAAATCAAATGTAAAGTTATTGCTAGTTACACAAGATAATCTCATTTAGGGCTTATACAGTTCCAAATGTTTATCATCCATCGATTGAGAAGTCTGCGACAACAGTGTGACAAAATCAAAGGTCACAATGTAAAATACTGATAATTTATTTATTTCCGACAGTTGTTTACAGCTTTATGTCTTCTATCGTTGTATTCGAATTCAAAGACAATAATTAAATATAATGAATTATATTACAAACTGACCCATGCAAATGGTCTCCTGAATATGGATTCTGAGTGAACTGTGGTGCTTTTTCTAACGCATACAGACACATAAATTTCATTTCAGGGCGTAAATCTAACTGAAGTACTGTTACTGCCAATAGCCAGTTGTGTTATCAGAGCTTGAGGCAGGAAAAGGCTGTGAACATATTAATATGTTTTATGTTTGAATATAAAGTAAACCGAACATAATATGAATCACAATCATCATTTCATAAAAAAACATACAGTCTCACACATACTCCTCAATAATTCGATCTATAAGATATTCTAGAGTTATCGGAAATAAATATCATTACAAGTCTTGATCTTTCATTTTTTTTACAGTCTTTTACTATCTCATTTTTATGTTTTACAACTCTCTGATTATTTGTTTCACTTCATTAACAGTTTCAACAATTCAAAGTCACTTCTTCTGATCACCTTATTTAATAAAAATAGTTTTTTGGTTTGAAGGTCAACGAAACTATTTGTTACGGAATTTTTTGTTTTCTTCAAATGTGCCACTTATGTGGTGAATAACAAATACACTTACTGTACAATTAACGATTTTTTTAATTCTGTGTTTAAATTTGCCATAAGAGCACAATAAAGTTTCATAATGTGAACTGAAAATTAGGGTTCTTGCATACGTCTTGTTTAACTTCTAAACTTATTGGAATTAGTAGTATTTCATTAGATCATTTCAAACACAAAAGCTTAGGAAATAAATAATTTATAAAAACTGTATTCTTTCTACCTTATGTGAAGTAATTACTTGATCAGCTTTGCAAAAATTACGTTTAATATTAGTATTTACAATGGTGATCACGTTAGTAAATTGATGTCCATTCTGTAATTCTTTTCAAAATATATTATTATCGTTTTTATTATTCATTATCAATTAAAGGTGATAAATTAAAACCTGATAATTGATATTGCTGATTATCTAATTCAGAATTGGTCTTATTAGACCATATATTAAATTCTTTTCAATAATTTGATTGAATTTGAATTTTACACTTATTTGGATGAATAAAACCTAATAGAAATTGTAGTGTTTTCTAATTAACACTATATCTGAGTTGATTAGAAGTTATGAAAATATTTAAATGCATTAGAAGACATAACATAATATCAACCATAAGCTAATATTTTACAAGTTATGGTTACTTAATCCATTGATATAGTGAGTGTAGGTTTGCTAAATAATTATATTCTAAGGTATTGTTCGAATATTAGAGTTTTGGCCATCACCAAAAGGATTCTTCAGATGAGTGAACTATTTAAAAGTAGAGAAATTTATTCAGATCAAAATGTACTACTATGTAAGTCCATGTATAATGTTTGTTCAGATAACAATGTAGACTTCTGGTCATTTGTAACTTTAAACGATGTAAATATGTCGAAATCTTCATAAACTATTATCGAATGTCCGCATGATGATAATAAGCTAATCAGAAAACTAAAATGAGTTTTGTGTAAATTTTAAAGGGAATGGCTTAGATTTTTCAAGATTGTAGCTAGTAATCATGATGCGTTATAAGATAGAGTTTCAATTAATACACAGTTTTAGTCAAGTAATTACTATTTTTTTTAAAACTTATATTACTATGTAAAATTTATTACTTTATTTTAGAATCCTATTCAGCTTAACTAGTATTTTCATGTTAAAAGAATGCTTATGAATATTTAGCTAGGACATACTTTAGAAAATGCTTATTAAATCTATCAAAAAGACTATGAATCGCGAATTATTACTAGCCATCTATTAAATATGAGTTACATTAAACAAATGATTAACAATACAAAATGAAAATCAAACTGTATTTCAGTACTGCGCATGTAGTTTCCAAACGTTTGTCTGTAAGCTTCAGCATTAAGATTCTGATTATCAATAATTACTAGCAATTTAAATAAGCTACTGTGATGGAATTATCATACTGTTAGAAATTTAAATTAACATTACTTAAAACAAAAGTTAGAAGTAAGGTTTTTCAGTGAGATACGCATCTATGCTAGCCTAAGAGAATATAAAGTTGTCTATCATATGTGGTACATAAAATCATTAGATCGTACACAAATAGTTTTAAGTATTTTACTGATGTCCTTATTCAGTTCATCTGAGTTTTTATACGAGTAAAATATTCTACAAACTATAATTAATCTTAAAAATCCATTAGTGCTTTTATGTATTTTTTCTACTTTATCTCATTTCAATTATGATACCATAGTAAGTCCTATTCGATAATAAGAATAGATCACAAACTCATTATCAATCAGTTATGTAACAGTGAGGACCAATAAATCGAGCACACTAACATATTATAAATGGTTTAACAAAGAAAAAATATTCCACAAAATGTCTTAGCTTACTAACACGAAAAATCTTCAATGTATACTGAGAAAATTAATTCAAAGAAACGAAAATATCTTCCAAGGTTGTTCAAAATTAGTGTATATTTTTCATTCAAACAAAGCTGAACGGCTGTTCTTGAAGAAACTAGATACAAACTTATGAATATTGTATGTAGTCTCAATATATCTCATTTACAAATGCACTTAACTAAACTATAATTCAATAGAATCTTTTCGCAAGACATAAAGGAACTTAAGTAAAATTAGTTGTCAGAGTCGTGTTTTCCAGATTTCCGGATAAGTATGATGAAACTTCTAGTAGATGTTTATATGTGGTGGCATTTATTAATTTAATGGAAAGAAAATTAGATAGTTAAAAGCTCCAGGTGAATATTAATATATTACAACTTATAATTATGAGTTCTTTAAATATAGGATGTACAAGACCAAGGATGCACGAAATGATATCTGTTAATCTGTAGGAATGTACTAATTCAACATCCGTCTGGAAGCAACCTAGTTATCTATTATAGCTTATTTATTTACTTACGCCTATCACCCCAAATGGAGCATAAGCCGCTGACTAGTGTACTCCAACCTACTCTGTCCTGGACATCCCTTTCCAGTTCTGGCCAAATTTAGCTCATTCTTCTCATATCTTTCTCCATTTCTTCGCCTAGGACCCCTCTGGGGCTACTGTTGGTCCCAAGTCCGGATAAAGGAGGAGGGTCGGGCATAGGGTTGATGACCCCATCCCATGAGAAAACTAAATCGCTAAAAAAAAGCTAACCAGAAAACATGATTCAAACTATTTTCTAATAATGATTTATAAATAAATAAACTTTGGTAAGTAAACCGCAACATTACTAGTGTCACCAGTAAAACTTCCAGTTTTTTTTAGTTTACAATACTCTCTGATAAATCTATCTGGCCATTTGGAAAGTCTTCTGTTCTAGTGTTTATTCAGTACCATTGAAAAATGAGTACATCTATAGTCAGTATCTATTTAAAATTTTTAAAGTCCCCACTTAGATTGTAGGTAGATGAATAGTTTATCAGTTTCATAACATGTTAGATTTATTTACATTAAGCAAACTACCAACAAATATCAATGAGCAATAAATGTAGGTATAAACGGTTTGATTGGTAGTCTGAAGGTCATATTTTGTTTCTGATCATGTACTTTGTGATTGGATAACCGTTTTATAATAATAATAGTAAGATTTACAATCAAAAGCAAGGTACACAAAATCAGTGAAGGAAGCTTTAACGATTTACAGGAATAATACTTGGATTTTCTAAAAAACGTGTAAGTGTCAATTTTAACTCCCATCTCACATTATTTTTATAAGTTTTTATATAATTTCGTGTCTACTTAATGTGTTAAAGAGAAGTATTACTGAGCACTAACCATTCTCGGCTAATATTTTTAATACTCTTCATTTGTACTGTCTTTTAGTAAGATGAATCGTAACAAATCTCTGAATATTTTATGAAAATATATCATAGATATTAAAACACACTGGATTTCGGTTTTAAAAAATTTTCTTATAAAATGTAGAAATAGGTCTCCAGTAGTAAATATTAGAAAACAAATCATATCACAGTTTCAATGTTTTTATAAGATTATATACCAAACCTAATTTCTGACTTTTCATTAGGTTGATGCGAAACTCAGTAAGATATCAACGATCGAAATATAATTTATAAAATCATAAAGTTTGTTTGTCCAGTTACAAGAAAAGGTCATCATTACAACCTTTTTCTCTTATAATCTATTGATTATTGTGCAAAATGGGAACGAATTAGTTTAAATATAAACTGAAAACCGATAAAACTTCCAAGTAGGTCGCTCATTTGTGAATAAAATGTTCTTAGTGAGTTACATTTACTCTAAGTGGTTATGTCATTTCATCGAAAAGATATCAAAAGACCTGTATATTACATTCGTAATCAATAAAATTATCTATATGTGACGATTCAATAAAGTATGTAGCTGTAGTGTACGACGTATAAACCCAAAAGTGAAATCTTGCATGCGCGTTTCTTGTTATTTGAGACTAGTCGTCTATATTTACTTGAATACTAGTGCTGATGTTCAAACTGAAAGCCAAATGCAGTACTCTTCTCTTCATACGCCAAACCCGCTTTCCATAGAGGTAGTGAGTTCAAATATTCAGTATATACATCAACATTATGGTGCAGGTATACTCACCTGATTACTACTACGTAAGAAAAAAAACCTCGTGCTACCTTGCACTATCAACCACATTCCGAATTATGCTAATATACATAGTGTTTCTTAAACAGTTATAGATTCATAATTTTAATAATTGACCTAATTAACTGATTATAAAGAAACAAAATGAAAAAAAAAACTAGTTTATTTTATTATATAACTAAAGCTACAATAAAACAAGAAGAAATATATTTGACCAGCATTGGTTTGAGCAATACGTTGCCTGGATTGTTTATAACAATATCTCATACTGTTTCATTTAAGTGATAAAATAATCGAAAATTGTCTAGGTCCTAAAACTATCTCATCAGTTTAAATGTCACGTATGGTTCAATAGAATTTCTTATATCCAGTAAATAGTGCTACTTACTATGAATAATGAGCACGTGGCTTTATTTTCATTCTTTACTCAAACTACTGACCTTCATCGATCAGCTTTGGCTACTTTATCTACTTTCATCCAAGTAAAGATATTTTATTTGCGCTTAGAGCTATATGCGTATCATTTCATTGAATAGCTAAAACTTAAACTTTTGAACTATCTATTTTTGTCTGGCATATTTGCATAAAATATGAATTTAGACAATACAAAAAGTAAGATGTCATTACAGTTTCAACTGTAATGACATGTATGCAAATAATTGTTACTGAATGAGGCAACAAAATAAAAATTTCAAAACTATGGATAAATAAATATTTTATATGATGAGTCAAATCTTAACAAATGTCAATAAAAGCATTTGTCGAAAAAACAAACAGAAATCAACAAACTGTTACTTATCTACCAAACAAAAACAAATTTTCAATCACACGTACACATCATACCTGTCATGTAAAATAAAGACAAGTTCAACTTATATATGAAACAGATATTCAATAAACACTGACAATGTTATTTTCAATTGACAAAAATTCAATCGTATTAAGAAACCTTGCAAAAAGAAATGTTGACTTTTTATGTTTTTCAAAAAAATATATTCATATTGCTTAAGGTGTGGCATGAAACATGGAAGAAGTAACTATTTAAATGGTTTTACTATTTATAATAGAATATATACATTGAATCCTTCAAGATTGTATTATTTAACTTCTTAAAACGTTTAAAGTTATAATTATAAGAAATAGTGTAAGTTACTAATTTACTATTTAAAATTTAATAATATTATATAAGCTAATTACATGTTACTGTATTTATAAGTGCTTCAATCTGTTAGTTGTTGATAGTAAACTCTGTAATTGATCAGTCTCTTTTGTGATATTTAAATTATTAGCACATTGAACCAATTAGACCATTAGGTCATAAAGCAACTTTTTCAGTTATAGATGACACTGTTGTAAAAAACACTTCAATAAGTAAAAGAATCTTTCATAATACACCATAATTTTTCCAATCTCCATGATGACTGTCATTAGAATAGCCAGTTGTACTATTCTATAAATTAATCAAAGAATAAACATTATTGATGAATTAGAAATGTTTTTTTCAACGATCTTTCAAATATATCTGGTTTGTAGAATTTGTTATTATATTTTTTGATGAAAGACTCTTCAGCTTATGTTATTGATAATTTCGAAGAAGAGTGTAGATTTTATTTTCCGGAAAATGTTAGTTCATTTGATTTTACTTCGTTATAGTCACTTGCTTTTTACTTGAAATGTTTTAGTTCACGAATAAATAATTAGTTTGAGATTGATATGAACAAGATTATTTAAAATTTAATTTTGTAATACAGGCTATAAAGATATAGTGAATAAATCTAATTAGTCATCCCATTCAAAAGTTTAGCATGAATAAGAATTGTTCAGTAAAACTGATGCCTATTGATGTATCATTAAAAAAAATTGAACGAGTAGAATTTATCAGTCGAATCAATCAATTGAATAAATGTGTCTTTTTTTTAAACATCTTTGAAACTTTATCGTTACTTGAATTGATAAATAATATTTGAAAAAAGACCCGAGGCCATTTTCAATGTGTTGATCTTATTAAAACCTTCAGGTAAAATAGATGTATCACATATGTGTTACGGGGTTGTGAAGATTGTTAAGTTACACATTTTTGAAACCATGAATCGATCAATGTTAGACCACCATTAGAAACCTGGAACCAATGGACAGCCGTTTCGTCCTGGTTTGGGACTCATCAGCAGAGCGCATCCACGACTCCGCACCTCGCAGGATTCGAACCGGGGACCTTCGGTATTGTGCGCAAACGCCTAACCATCGGACCACTGGCCCGGTATCTATGTATTTATAATTAACTAAACTTTATAAAATGATTTCATAAGATGAACTCATAATTCAGGCCAGTGCTTTTAAAGAGAATAATGTTATTCACATGATGTATTCAGCTCCAAAATATATTATCGCACTGATTGGTGCTTGGTTGAAAACTAGTCAAGGCGCATCACTTTTCGTAAATTCCAAAGTACACCAGGTTATTGAGTGTCGACTACATTTAAATGATTCACCTGATTACCTTCAGTCATATTAAATTAAAGTATGGTGGATACTATGTTCATTTTATCTAGACTATCGGGGGAAATTTCAACTCCAGTAAGGACTAGACAACAGTGAAATTCACTGCCACTTAGTGATTAACCAATGTAAATTCAGGAAGTGATGAAAGGCTCTTTCATTCTAATTTAAAATATTTATAGAAATGATTTCAGGTGATCCCAATCACTGGAAATCCATTTGGGCCAAATTACTGCTTTAGTTCCTAGTCTACGAAAATAGGTGTGCTTGTTTGTTATTTACAAAAAAACATTATAAAGTGTATGAGTATAGATTTGTTACTTGTTAGTTTTACATTTTAGCCCACAAATTACAAAGCTAATATCTGTTACTGTTTGATTGATACTAATTGTCTTAACCTCTGGAAAAAAACTACAGATAAAAGAGGGTTTCAGAATTCAATTTTCCCTGCGGATGCTTGTGAATAATCGCCGACTGAATGTTCTCGATTAATCTCTTTAGTTTTCCACTTTTTTCAACATTTCCAATCTAATAGTGAATGAAATTATCAAGCGAATTAAACAAACACCAAGCTCTTCATTGATATTTCTTGAAAAAACTTATTCAATTTATTTTTTTACTGAACTGACTTCATATCAAAGGGTTGAATGATAAAAACATTCAAGAAAATCATTGTGACGTTATTCATTGATGTCAGAATGACTTGTGAAACTTGAAATCAAAACTTAACACATGTTAAAATAATGTTTCATTGTCTAATTAACAGTTATGTGAATTCATTCATTTGTATCTTTATATGTCAACTACTAGTCAATGATATGTTTTTTTTTTCGAGATCTAAATTCAAACATTAACAATGTTGATTTACATTCTCTAATAATGATAATCATAACAGAGTGAAATGTCTTATGTTAATTTAGGTTTAAAAATTCCTATAGATAATCGTTGTACATAACACTTACGACAATTAACCTTTCACCATTGCTGAATTTGATGTAAATGACCTATTGACTCAGTGGTTTCAGTTCAGTAATCTAGGCCAGCTTTATATTATCTCAGTGTTCCGTTGAATGTTAAATCACGTGTCACAATACATTTTTAAGCATATTTATAAAGGCTTAAATTTCTCGTAAAATAAAAGCCAAAGGCAGAATTATTGGTTGTAAGTAAGTGTTCTATTTAAATAACTTTATATTATATATTTCTAAAGTAGCATTAATCAGTATGGTAAATGTCCAAGTTAGACATTCATTAGATGTTCATCAATTAATAGCCGCTCTAAATACCTGATGTACCAGCTACAATCATCATCACTCAATAGTTTCCGGATATTAAGTTCAAAATCAATGCTTCATAGTACAATGCAACTGTCATCACACCTAACCGATAGACATTTATTCTTTCTTTTGGAATGGTTGATTTTTACAGTTGTAATAGGCTACTAAGACATGAAGGCGAAATGCTCGAACAAGGGTACCAGGAAGTATCGGATTATTATTTATTTGAAAATCTCTCAATTAAATTTCTATTTGTCTAAAAAAGAAGGAATAAAATTATATAAACGTCACTGGTAAATGGAATTTGTATTATCAAATATATTTTATTTGGAGGTCATAATTTATTGGCTGAGAAAACATAGTAAATAATCTGAATTTTAATTAATATTTTTAAATAGAATTAGTGTGAAGTTCTCAAAAACTAAAAACCGAAAAAAATTATATCATATTATTTTAGTTATGAGAAGTTCTTTGAGTAGATAAATTTTTCCACGTAATCAGTTTTTTGAAGCAGGTTATCGACAAGAGTTCAATTAAACCATATTGAGAATTCATTTGTGCATAACATATCCCTGTATAATCACATTGCAGCTGTTCATATTAGTAAGTGGCCTGGTTAAATGAACAATTTTTTCAATTGATAATAGAAATATTGTACTTGGAACCCTTAAGCGAATACATGGTCATAGTAACTTCTCAGTTTACTTTGCCTTTGTTAATGTTGTACAAGAATCCGATTATAAAGTAAATTATTCTTAAGTGAATTCAATAAAAGTTTGAATTATCTTGAATAAACCCTGTTAATAGTGAGGTCCCTAGATTGATCACAGTTAAAAATTAACACCATTGGACTCCACCCCAGTGGTACACAGGTTGGGCGTTCGCACGCAAGACCAAAGGTACTGGTAATAAGTCCCAAACTAGGACGAAACGGTAATCCAATGCTTCTAGGTTTTTGATGGTCATCTAACAGTAATAAACAACCATCTCCATAACTCGAAATTAGCGACGTTGTTCAAAACTTAAAGTGTCTTTCTGTGTTATGTTGAACTAAAATTAGGATGATTCATTTCAGTGAACGCAGGACCTTAATTGCTGTGACAGTGAACGTAAACCATAGAAATGATGCAGAATACGTAAATAATATAATGATTATTATGTACCGTATAGTACACGGATAACCTACTGGATAATATGTAACGATAATTAAATATTACTGTTCTGCCGTAATCATAAAGAGCCGTAATGCGTACTAGTATGCTGAGCCCATAGGGCTTGTTCCAGCCTTCAGAAAAATAAATTAATCCATTCTTCTCCAGTTATTCAAGCGTCCTCCGACCTTGTCAGTTATTAGCCTATGAGCGTGGTTATTTTTACTTGAGTGCGTATGCGCATTGCTTTCTTTGCTTCTCACATCTCTAGCTCATTTCTGTTTGACTATAAATACATAGTCATATCTCATCACATTGGCTTGTCCCACTTGCCTTCTCCTATTTGCTTCGCTTTGTATTCACAGTTCTGTTTATTGTCTGTACGAAATCAATTCGTCCACAATTAACCTTTAATGACTTCTAATCACTGATGTCTCATCGATGCTGTTCGCTAAAGAACGATAAACGGAAATCAAATGAACGATTGATTTCATAACATATTAGATTGTTTGTAAAAATTGGAGTCAGATTTCGGGCCATAAAAGAGCATTGAAATTACAAATAAGCATCCTACTTTTTAAAAGAAATTTTTCTGACCTATTTTGATAATACTTAACAATCAAGAATACACAATACATCATCGATTTACGGAGGAAATAAGTTTGATGCTTTTCGAGATTTGTTATCTTAAATCATTTAGAAATTGGTTGCATTAAGCGGAGGACAGTCTGGTCTAATAAATGTATGCTTCATTACATTCCAGAGTATTATATTTTTCATTAGAGAGTTATTGAGATTGTTGTTTATTATTGAAATCATTAACCGATCAAAAATACTCAATAGTAACTAGCTTCGTTAGGAAATTCTCGTGACCAGTGGAGCTCAACCCTGTCAGGTGTAGGCGGTGACTATTGAAGACAGTGGGTGAAGTTGCGTAAAGCATAAGATTAATCGAAATTAGGCACTACCACCACTGGCTCATTGGTTTAGAGGTTAGGCGTTTGCTCGCGAACCCGAAGGTCCTGGGGGTCGTGGATGCGCACTGCTTAAGAGTCCGATTCCAGGACGAAACAGCCGTTCAGTCCTTCCAGGTTTCTAATAGTGATCTAGCAATGATTGATCCATAATTGTATACGTTAGTGACTGAACTACAACTAATTTTTTTGTCTAAATGATGTACCTACGAATATAGATATGTATATCACTAAATTTGAATGCATCTCTACATTTACGTGATTTCATTGACAAATAAATTAATCAAATCTATATCAAGCGTCTTTATAGTCACGTTGTATTGAACAACTATTTTATTATTTGTACATTTTGTTCCAATAGAAGATGATGAATAATAAATGAAAATTCACTGAATAAAATTAAAACGAAAAGTAGTAATTTAATTAATGACTATGATATGAAATGGATTTAAATATTTGTTGAATATTTTCACAGATTACATATAAGTATTGTTATTTATATGAAATTTCTATGAGATTATTTCCTTTTACTTTATGAGATTTAATTCGTATGGAATAAGAAATCTCTGTAGACAAATATGAAGTGCATCTTAGTAGCTTTCATGATAATATCAATCTTTTCAAATGAAATTCATGTACTTAGTGTTAGTTTTGAAAAGATAGAAATGTTTGAATTAAGCGAGTGTTCACCCTCGTTTAGGCCTCAGAAATTTCATATAACTTTTACTATTGATAAAGTCTAGCACAATGAAAGATGAATTCTTTTCTATTTCGTGGTTTCACATGAGCTGTACATAGCCTACAAGTAATAATGTTATTTATAGCAATTATTAAAACTAGTGTACCTGATTCATTTCATACAAACGAAAATGTTCACATCTCTGAAGATTAATAAGCGGCAGTGAATGTGAAATATAAGTCTAGTTGACATCTTTTCACAGTAATTGTTTCGGTAAAATGTAATAATTTCGAATATGTTTGTTTGTCAGTAATTTTGAAAGATTTTTAAAACTCAACATTGTGTCCACTATTGTGTCGATGACCAGAATTCTTATACTATCTATTATATAAATATTCCATCGTTTGAGCACCTTTTATAATCCTTTCATATTTGTATATCGTTTAATAATTCTTATACATGAGCACATTTCGGATATTTTAATATAAAGTATGTACACTGATTTTAATGATTGCAGTAATTAATATTATTATGTTTATGTACCGTGTAGCTGGTGAGTCACTGCGAAATAAAATGAATTTATTTTATCCTGTTAGATTTGTTGTTCTAGCTCTATTTAAATTTTTGTAATGTTCGGTTCAGCAGATCATCGAACTCTAACTGAAAATATTGTAACAGTGCTCACTAGTGACTAGCTTCGTGAGGAAATTCTCGCAGTTCTAGGGAGAAGACGTGACCAATGGAGTTCAACCCTGTCAAGTGTAGGCAGTAACTACCAAAGACAAATGGGTGAAGTCGCGCGAAATCCTTAGATCAATCAGATTCAGACATTAACACCGTTGGATGCCGGCCCAGTGGTCCAGTGGTTAGGCGTTCGCGCACAATACCTAAGGTCCCGGGTTCGAATCCTGCGAGTTGCGGAAGTCGTGGATGCTCGCTGCTGATGAGTCCCATACTAGGAAGAAACGGCTGTCCAGTGGTTCCAGGTTTCTAATGGCGGTCTAACAATGATTGATTGATGATTTCAAATGTGTAAAAACACAAATCTCCAAAGCTCTAACTGAATATAAATGATGTGGCTTAAAATTAACTGTTTAATTTATTTTTATTGGGCTGTATATCTTGAAAATGGTGTCGATATTCATATTCTTTATTCTAAAATCGTTCTTTTTCTGAACCATGGTAAACATGATATTTCTTTCTTTCTGCTTTTCATTTTAATAGCACTTTATATTGCCTTATGGATTTCTGCCATACAAAAGTACATCGATACTTATGTTTCCTGAGTCACATATAACCAATAGTAGTTTAACCTTGTACTTATATTTTGTTTACAACTTGAATCTTCATTAAAGGAAAATTAGTGACTTACTAACTCAGCATTTACTGTCACAATATAAAATATGAAAATTAATATTTCTTAAAATGTTTATTTATTTCTGAGTTTATTAGTTGGAAAAAAAACACAATGGTTATTATGTATAATCGAAAATCAAATAGATTTTCATTGATACACCAATATTTAATAATTCATTTTTATGAGCAAAAAGACTATTCATCAATTAAGTAAGATGTTTTCAAATCTTTATACCAAAGTTCACTATTTTAAACGTATGTTTATTCTATTTTTCTAGCCTGGTTCTAATCTATGGAAACAGTTCGTAGTCAGAGCGACTCTGATAATAACAATAACACCAACAATAATGATAACACGTCATTTATTTCAATACATCGTCCTTTATTTACTAAAGAAACGTTTAACCAATATGCGGGATACAATTCAAATTTAAAATCGCTAACTATTTGGCAACAATGTCTACATCTATTCATCTCATTGATTCGGAAATGTTCTCAAATGTTAGGATTCAGTTTATATCAAAAACCTAATGAAGATCATTATAGAATAGGTGAAGAATACCATAAACGAAGTAAAAAACAATTATTGATTGAAAATTGTGAATATTTTACAATTCGTTTGTGGAAATGGTTGATCATTTATTTGCCTTTTATACAAACTTTGACACAATACAGAGTGAAAAGTTGGCTTCTGAATGATATAATTGCTGGATTTACAGTTGGAATAATGCATGTACCTCAAGGTGAGTAATTTATAAAACCAAATATATCATAAATCTGCAGTATTTATCGTAATTTAGTATTTGAATTATTTATACTTCAGTTATATGAGGCGAACTAATAATGGTTCGATGATCAAAATTAGGCGTTAGACAGTAAAAAATTGTATCTGACATAAGATATTCTTGTTTCTTTTATTCTAATAATCATTAGGTGAATAAATTCATGTTTTATTTGCTTGTTGGAATTTGTGATTAGATGTTTAAGTGTCCTCTGAACACAAACAGATATTGTTTTCCGCACCTTATAAGTGAATTTAGTGGAACAAACTGGTTGAAAGCACCTCTATAATATCTAAACCAAAATCCTCCAAGAATACAATCATTTAATTTACATAAAAGTGAGTAACTTATTGTAGATAGAAAACGACATTTTAATTGCCTTCAAATGAAGTATCTCGCAATTTCGGATACTCACTTGCATAGCATGAAATTACTGAAAACTATAATCAGCAAACACAACTGAAACACCTGATTCGTGTTTCGTTTTTTCAGGACAGACCAATAGCATCGAGGACAATGGTTGGTTTTCATAATGCATCATGAATTAACTGGAGATATAAATGTGTGACGAACTTTCTAGGGGACCTGGAGAATTTTTTTTAAACTTTTATGAAACTAGAAGTATACACTGTTGATTGGTCTTAAACTGAGATGCAAATACTATCCAGAGCTTCTTCATTTTTAATGATTTTTCATTTGAGATCAATTTATCACCAAATTAGCTGGACAAGTATTATAATTTTCAGTCATTTTATATTGTAACTAAGCTAGTTCGCCGACTAGTTTCAGGATCGGAAATGTTATTTACCATTATTTAACGTACAATCCAGAATTCTTTCTCTAACGTTTTAGGTATGGCTTACGCCTTGGTTGCAACGTTACCTCCAGTTTATGGATTATACACTTCATTCTTCCCATCGTTAATTTATTTCTTCCTTGGAACATCCAAACACATATCAGTAGGTAAGATTTTCACGGATATTGACGTATAAGTTTGGTATATTCTGGTTACGAAGCCTAATTTTAAATAATAGTATTTCTCAAAATGAAGGTGTTTTACATATTCAAAATTTATAACTGAAATAAGAAACATTAGGATAAATTATTCCACTGAAAATAATCTAAATTTAAGTGATCAGACTTTTAAGGTACTACCAGCATATATATTGGCTAGTACTGTCTGTCCTGCGCCTTTACGTTTTTCAATGTGATCAATATTATTAAAAATAAAAAGCAAATATTGATTTGAATAGTTATTTTATAATATGTCGCTAGTACATAAATATTCGTAATGAAATGAAAAAAATGTTCAGCATGTAGTAGTTGTATAGTTTGTGTTTTCACATGTTGACAATTTCGTTTAATGCTAAAGCAAAAATGCAATACTGAGTTTGTAGTGATGTTAACAAGGCAGAAAAGATAAGAATGCATTTTGAGTTAGTCATTAACCCTACCCATAAATTTGGAAGATCTAGAAATTGTCCTCTGTATTAATCATGCCTACTCACAACGTTTCGCCTACGAGTGAGTCTAGAAGTAATCGAAACTTAATTGATTTCCTAATTGTCATCGTATAAAGTTTAAAGTACGAATTAATAAAAAGGTATATATTCGTCGCATAACTAATGAAGTCATTTCTAAGAACACAGTAGACTGAGAATTCATTTTAGTATAACGATTGTGGAAGGTACTCTGAATACTTCCCCATGGGATAATAGTGTAGTAAAGATAAAACATATTTCGTTTCTTTCTTCTTATGTTATCGTTTAAAATCAACTAGCACTTGTCTAGCTTTAACTTCACTGATGCAGCCAAATATGGTTTGATTTTCATAATCTGATTTTAAGTGTTGCCAATTTTTACCAATATATTTCATTTATGTTGGACAGGTTTTGATTTGTTCTTGGTAATTTTATTTCTCACCAATGTTTTTATCATTACTATAATAAAGTTTTTGAACTAGAACACTTCAAACAACCTAATAAGATATATCTATCCTCTACATTTAAAAATATTATCTCTATCAAGCTGATCATGCCTGTAAACTGGCATGAATTCTGCACTTATTACTTTCAGAATATAATATTATGATATAGTGTAGTTAGTAATTAACTTCACAGTTATCAGTTTTTCATTTGCAGTAACGTCTGTCAGTTCGTTTTGAGATTCCGTTGACTTAAGTAAGAATTGCGATAAAAGAAATAGTGATCAAAGTTCATGAGTTTAAACAAAGCAAGAACAATATACGTAATAGTCTAACATGAATTTATTTGATTTTGTGGCTTTTTGTCAGCTGCTTACAACCGAAACATAATAGTTTTAATGATTATAAACTAGTGTACAGACTTTACACTATAATATCGGAAAAGTTCTCATCAACAAGGCTCAATAAATGATCACTAAAGACTAAAAGAGATAGTATGCTAAGTGATGTGAATATTTATAGGTTGAGTATACAGAATATCCTGAAATTTACGGAAAGAAGAAGCATTCTTAAGTAATGAATTCATAAATGTAAGGTCATTTTGGCAAATTTGGTTTGAATCTTCTTGTTGGTTTTACCACGACCACGGGTGAAATTTTGGTTTCTATTGTTTATTGACTGTTTTTAAAGATTTTGAGACTGCAACATCATGCCCATCGTCAAGCAAATGACGGGCGATCTTTCGTCGTTTTAGTCTCAAATTTTGTGGAGATGCGAACAAAAACCCTACTTTATGTTCTTCCGATATTTGTAAGATAGTAAACATGGTTGGAGGTAACAGAAGGCTGGTATTTGTTCAAATATGATTGTCTCAATGAGCATTTAGTATGATACGCAAACACCAATTTGACTGCTGGATGCGTTCTTTGTAGCATTGCTTGCTGTCTGAAGCCAATCCTCCCGGCTATCTTACTGTATGTGAAATTAAGTTTCAAAAAGACGAGCTCTTCCCCAACTATAGGATATTCCATTTCATTTTTTCTAATCGTTCCATATCTACTTATGAAAAGTAACATTCAGCTATGAATAATTCTTCCTTAATTCCATCCTTAGAATAGCTTTCCAACCAATTATCTTTTATAACTTATCGGATAGAAACTACCAGAGTTTAAGTATAGTCTCTTCTACGTGTGCTTTTGCTACAATCTTTCCAAATGGCCATTATAATTATGTTCAATACCAAGATATAGAAAATTCAACATGCTGTCAAGTACTCGTTCCATCATAAATATACTGTTAAACTATCTCCTGTTGAAAAGTTGGAGTATACGAGAGACATGTTAAGAATCACTACAGAAAATAAATGTATTATCCGTATACCTGATATACAACGTTGTCTCATTAGTTGTTGATTTCATAAATGTTTTTCTTGAGTTCGCCACAAAGATACCTGATAGGATTTGACCTAGCTGAGTACACATGGCTACTTCATTGACTTGACAGTATAAGATCTTGTTGAACTGATATTGAACGTCTTCAATGCGTAGCAATCAACGTTGCTAGAATATGTCTTTCGGTAAGGGGAGTTCAGCGTGTCGACGTATAGGTTGTATGACAAATGGTAGTGGGATTAGGGTAAGTATTGATGATGTATCAAATGAAACCATGAATTTATCAAAGATAATAACATTTTCTTGCATCTCAGTAAATTAAAATGTGTCTTTCAAACAGTGGTCAGATAACGCTGAGCGAATAGGTCCAAAATGATTCGCTAACCACCTTGAGAGTTTGTGAGATGGAAAATCGATCAGTGATAATATAGGCCTGATGAAAACATTAGGTTTGTGTATTTTTGGCAGTCTATATAAACTAGGTATTCTGGGCCCCCAAGGTTTCACTTCATCATATGTTTTATTAACGATTAAATTCCTATTCAAAAGATTTTTTAGCTTTTTTGTAGTATGCCTTTCTGTTACTTCAATTTTATCGCTTTGTGAATAAATATCAAAAAATCTAGTACTGTCAACTAGAAACGTTTTAACTTGGTTGATGTATTTTTTCCTTATCGATTTCAACTACTCCAGAACCCCTATTAGGTTTGAGAATGACGACTTTTTCGTTATGCATTGAGTTTTGCAAAGCTGTTTGATATTCTTCCAGCTGTAGGATTAAGGATGCCATGCACATATTAGCAATATTGACTAAACAAGATTTCAGCTAATCATGTTTCCGTTTATCATTTGTGACAACTGCGTATAGATGTGTCCAAACTGGGTTTTGGTATTGATTATGTTGTTGCTTATTATAGTATATTTCGTATATTTATATTTAGTAAATTGTAACATTGTCAATTTCATAAACTGAGTTATATACTTTCATATGTATTTGAATTTTTAACTTCTTACATCCATTAAAAAGTACACTGGAGAAAAGTTATTCATCTTGGAAGTTTAAGTGAATTCAAATATTGCCTATTTATTTTGTAAATAAATAAATTCCTTTTTTTGAAATAATTGTCATATTCAATTTTAGGTACAATGGCAGTTGTTAGTTTACTAACAGGTGATTTTCTCGATAGAGTACTTCATCTGAAAGCTCATAGTTGTAAGTTGAACAAATTTCATTCAATTAAATCGCTTATTCTACTCTTATACATATTCTTTGAAAAAACACTGAATAATAATAATGATAATAATAATAATAATAATAATAATAATAATAATAAATGATACTTTGTTTAGACGATTCATAAAATCTATTCCAAATTTCCAAATCTTCAAGAATTAAGTTGACTATATTGTGTATATTAGTAAAAAAAATCATCGTACAGTAAAACTGTTTTATCAATACAATTGTAATGAACAAAACACCAGTTACATCATTAAAACTACATAAATGTTTTCTATTTTCAATAATTCATCTATGAAATGAAAGAGACTTTAGTATGTAACATTCTACTCTGTTAACGTTGTACAACTAACCTGCAGATTCTAGCTACAATCCTAGAAGTTGACTAATGTTTCAAAAACTAACTCTTGAATACAAAACACGTCACAGTAAATTTATTAACTAACATATGTAGAGTAATATGCACATAATAAGTTATTTTCAACAACTACTCTTAGAATAAAAACTATTCTATCAATAAATAAACACAAGTTAAACTTAAGTATCTGATTACCATTGATTCTAAAGGATTCATTTTAAGGCTTTGGGTTCACGTGTTTCATTAACTCGAGAGTAATGCAGATATAGAATCGGCGATTTTTCGATATTTAATTTTATTTCTGAATGAGATGATTTGAGGAAAATCATTTTCGAATTAATTGATCCAGTGAAACCGTTTAACTGAATTATGAATCGATATATGCTAGCTGATCGGTTATACTATATATTGAGTGTAACTAATTTTTGATGCTTAGATTTGTGTAAATTATATATATATATATATATATATATATATATATATATATATATATATATATATATATATATTTGATTAGATATATAAGTGCAATCAAAAATTTAAGAATCACATTTTTTTCGTGCAATGATTCTACTTACAATAAATTGAACTATCTCAATGATACTGTTTTCAATTTCTTTTTTTTGACATGCTGTTTATTTTCAGTGAAATTTGCAAATGAAACACTTTGTGATAATGATAAGATCAATACGAATATTTCAATGCATGATGTAGAACAATTCAGAGTTCATTATGCCCTAGCTTTAGGATTTTCAGCAGGCATTGTACAAGTAAGATGCAATTCCTTATTTATATAATTATTGATTTATGTCTTTTTTTCTACATAGAAAGATTAACAAGTGGTCATAATACTCCCTAGTTTGTGTTATTCACTTATTCATTTAGTCTGTGTAATTATATTTTAAGGATATTGAAAATATTTCACTTTTCCATAGATCAGTGTTTATTCAGCTAATTTTAAAGAACAAATGAATGGCATTACAGGGTTGTGAAGATTATCAATTTGTTTTTTTTGAAACCATGAATCGATTCATGTTAGACCACCATTAAAAACCTGGAAGCACTGGACGGCCGTTTCGTCCTGGTATGGGACTCCTCAGCAGTGCGCATCCAAGACTCCTGCACCCAGCAGGATTTCAAAAAAAAACTTAACAATCTTCATAACCCCGTAATGCAAACTACCTGTGCTCACTAGTAACTAGCTTCGTGAGGGATTTCCGAGTTCTAGTGGGAAGACATGATCAGTGAAGTTCAACCTGTTCGGGTGTAGACAGTAACTACCGAAGACTGCGTATGAGGTTGATCAAGTCAGACATTAACACTGTTAGATATCGGCTAAGTGGTCCGATGGTTAGGCGTTCGTCTACAATACTGAAGGTCCTGGGTTCGAATCCGGCGGGGTGCAGGATGCGCACTTCTGAGGAGTCCCATACCAGAACGAAGCGGCCGTCCAGTGCTTCCAGGTTTCTAATGGTGGTCTAACATTGATCGATTCATGGTTTCAAAAAAAATAATTGAATTATTCATATACGGCATGAATTGATCACTGATAGTTGAAGCTAGTTTCTTTACAAGCAATTCATTAGACAAAATAGTCAATCGTTCATGCAACTCATGTAATAATAAATACAGTTTTTGTGCTAATGTATCGACAATAGATCACTTTGTCTAATTCTCATTGTTAAAATCTTAAACTGGCTTTTCGATGAATGGACTATAACCACTGTCAGTATTCATTTGATCTTTACCACAGATAGAAACCTATTAATTATGCTGCTTTGTGTTGAGTTATATATTTGGCATATCATGAAGTGTATAGTTTTAGATGATTGCAGCTGGTGTGGTTTTCCATCTTACTGTTTCAATTCAATCAAATAAAATCACGGTATTACATCATATTATCTATTAATTACCAAGTCAATTAGGATATAATTGTAACAGTGAATAAATTATTTATTTTTTTACTTTGTTAATTTTAAGATTTTAATGGGATTATTTAGACTAGGCAGTTTAATCAGATATTTTTCTGTACCAATGACATCTGGTTTCACTGTTGGAGTAGCTGTTCATGTATTTACAACTCAAGTGAAAAATGTACTCGGTCTAAAATTGCCCCGGTTTCCCGGTTTATTCTCTATACCCTACGTAAGTTTAACAAAGTTATGTTGATCAGAAATATTCAGCACTTTTTATATGGCTTTAAATTGTGATACTTTAACATATCTAAAACGTGAACTATTGATAAGTGCCAACTCAAATTAAAGCTAGAATTTGTTTTTAGTAGTTTTATCAATCAAGTTTCATAATGTTACTCACTAAAAACACCAATGTTTTAAGATACAGTAGAAAGAAAGACTGTTCTTCTTACTTACCTTGAATTTGGAACATAAATTTCAACTGTTATCCTACAGAAACATTCACTTGATTTTGGTCCAAGTGATTAGCTTACGATCCAACTTCAAAAGTCATCATTAATATTAATTATTGTTTTGTAATCTCAAATTTTCATGCATCGCTCTGATGAGTCGTGTTGTACACAAAATTCTAACTGGCAAATCTCATACTATGTTAGAGAAATCGCTCAAAACAATTTATCCAACAGTTTCAAGGTGTTAAGAAAGCAAGTAACACTTACTGGGCATAATATTAATACCAAGTAAATCCATAGTATTCTGATCTATTATCGTCACCACATTACTCTAAGGTGAACACAAAAGAAACACGATTCATGTTTTAGTTTTTACGTCAACGAGTTTGTTGAACGCTGAGATGTATGTTGAACAAATAGATAATTAGCTTATGAACTTGTTTACCATAAATTCGAGTAAAATTTTCATTGCATTCACAAATTTGTTGTAAATAAGATTTGACAATTAATAATAAAAGATTAACAGTTAGTAAAATAATATACAGTAAATTTATCATATTAACTTAAAATAAAAGATATCAGTTAGGCTAAATAATCTCAATCTGTTTGTTCTACGTAAATCTGTTATTTTTTAATCGTTGTAGAGTTTTATATGTGAGAGACAATATCAAACTGTGAAATTATTTTCCAGAACAATGTATGGTGTATTAAAAAATATTAACGAATTTTTTTTGAATATTTTTAAAATAAATATTTATTTTCATTCAAACAAAACCGAAATCTAGCTCCAAAAAAAGTAGCTTGTATTTATTGTTCAATGGTTAATAGTGATTGACGAAATGTTCTATATCTAGATCACGTAAATGCTGCCAAAAAGCATGACTAGGTACATGTACTCGGCTCACAATGCAGACGTTTCTGAAATATATATATATATATATATATATATATATATATATGTATATATATATATATATATATATTTATATATGTAGATCAATAGTTTTCAATCTTCACTGAGTAGAAAACTGGTGAACATTCATTCCAACCTATAACAAAACTACCATGGAAGAAAATAACCTTAGGGTATTGTTTGATTATGGCAATATTTGAATAATACTCTTATGAGTGTAATAGTGAACTAACTTTATATGAATTCGATTTTTTTTTCTTCTTTTAACAGACTTACTATGAAATTTTCCATTCTATTCAAGATACCAACATACCGACAGTGTTACTTGCTAGTGTATGCATTACAATTTTAGCTGTTTATAAAGAATGGATTAGTCCGCTTGTTAAGAAAATCTCATTTATTCCTCTTCCTGTAGATTTAATTATTGTAAGTTGAATTTCCATGAAAAAAACTCTAGATTTCTTTTTTAACATTAATTTATAAATATGTAAACTAAGTGCATATAAAAAAGAAAATAATCACCAATATTGAAGAATTTAGAAATTGTGATCTAACTATTCAACAAACAGAGTAAATAAAAAACATAAGTTGATGGTCAACCAATATCACGTATCGATTGAAATGGAACGTTGACGCCGTATGATGCCGACTCACTTGTCTAGAGATTACGCATTCACAAGAGAGATCGAAGGTCATTGGTTCGATTCACGCATGTCAGGTTGTTGATGTGCCATGCAGACTAGTTCCATACATAGACGAAATAGTCGTTCAGTACTTCTAGGTTTTCGATAATGGTCTAGCATTGATCGGTTCATGATTTCAATGAAACATTGAACTGTTTGTTGATCTAGACTTTTAAGTTTATATTTTAAACTTAACGAAGTAATAAAGATCTTAATCATAATAGTAGTCATGATTTTAGTAATTAAAAACTATACCTTATCACAGACCGTTTTAGAGTAAGCTACGCTGTTATGACTGTCAGATAAATAACGTATGTGATTTTCATAGAAAGAAGACATTTAATCTTCAGAAATAGCAAATATTCAGATCATATTAGAATTGTTACCGATGTCTGTTTGTTACATTCACTTATTATAATCAAATTATTACTAATCATTCTGTACCACAGGTTATACTATCAACCGTTGTTTCCTATTCACTTGACTTAAGTGGTAAATATGATGTGAAAATTGTTGGTGAAATATCGAAAGGGTGAGATATTTTGTAGTATTTTTTATGGCAAAGTATTTGATGTTTGGAAACGTTTAATTGAAAGATTACAGTAGGTTAGTAATCAATTACAGTTGTCTACAAAATAGGTTTCAGTTATTTGTTTATCAAGTTATTTTGTTAACTAAACTCTATCAATGCTTTCTCATGTTTTAAGTACCTGTCGAACATAATTCATGAATAAATTGTATTGTACCTAAGGTGACATTAAATAGCATACAACTTTTGTAAAATACTTCTTTCCAATTACTTAATATATGTTCAATAGGTTTGATATAATGTAAATCATTCCTTCAAAGTTATGCAACATTTGGTTTGATTTTACAGTTCAATCCTTTACAAAGAATTTTCATACCATATTCCTAAAAATGAATTTTCAACTTTACAAACGATGCATTAAGCATCTATGTAGCCTTCGTAGACTTTGTAAAATTCTCATTGTTTGAGATTAGTTTACAGTTCAAACTATGAACATTAAGGTTGTGTTTAATCAATAACCGTTGCAAAAGCCGACTATATTAGCATCACGTATATCTTATTTTGTTCACATGAATTACATACCAATAAATAGATAAGCTGATGACGAGGTTATTAAATCCAGTTGTTCACTCAACCACCACTAGTTCTAATATACTACATAAGGTTCTTTCAACTATTGATGATAAGTATTGTAGTAACTGAGTAAGAAATTTTCATTAGTTTTTCATATCATCTAGATTGAAAACTTCAAAAAGAATAAAATTTACTTTATTTCGAAAGTAAATAATCTTTCTTATGCTAATATTTACTTACACAAGTACACAAGACCAATGCATAACCAACGGAATCATGTTCAGGATAATAATGAAGTATCTATCATTAACGATAATGATATAGTTATAGGATATGATCAATGAATAAATAAAAGAAATTCAGTGATTGAAATTATCTCACCAACCTTTTTTTGAATTAATAAACTCTTATTTATATGAAAATTGTTTCCTCTCATGTAACATACAAAATCAATTGAATTTACCTCGTCAAATATCATTTCATTTTAGTGTTCAATATCCAGAAGTACCGGATATTTCATTGATGGGTCCATATATTGGTGATAGTATAATATCAGCAGTTATTAGCATTTCAATTAGTGTATCGCTTGCACGAATATTTGCAACACGTTTCAACTATAAAATTGATACTAATCAGGTAATCAAAAGCAAAAGTTTAAATGTCACTTTATTTCAGCTTGTTACAAATTGTTTCATCAACAAATTCTTTACAATTCATTGAATTTTTCGCTTGAGTAGAATGCTTCCGAACATCTTAGCGGCAACTTTATCTCAAAACTTGATGATCAAGTCAAAATATCAATGATAACTATTGTATTTATTTGATAGTGAGTAATGGATTTCAGCATCACTGATAGTTATAGTGATCTGGAACTTGAAAGTTTAGTTTAATATGTTCAGTTAGTAAATTGAACATGTCAAGTTCAGCTACTCGGAGAATGTAAGCAATGAAATACAAAGTTTGGTCACTGGAAAAGTAGGGATTAGTCTAGATTAGCACACTTTAATCCCAAAACAGAAAATCATCACGTATAAAAGATCAATGTTATCGTCAGAAAATAGAAATATAAGCAAAGCCTACAAGTGAAAAAAATAAAAAATAAACACAAAGCTACATTTGGAACGAATGTATCTGTGCAACTATGCCTGACCGTGAACAATATAGCCAATATCTTAATCACACAAGTTTCACTGTAGTTGTGTTTTTCTCAATTTTCAACAACTCTTTAGTTGATTTCATTGCTAAATCTATTTATACCAAATGTCACATTAAATCATCTATCGTTTGTTATAAATGCTTTTTTTTAAAAAAATGGAATATTTCAGCAGTTGAATTTTTTCAATGTTTTTTTTTCAACTAAAAGGCTACATTGTATATTTATTTTTTATATTTAAATTTAGTTACTCAGTTTCTCTACAAAGCACTGTCATAATTATTTTCAAATCATTACAAATCACGGATTTGTTGAAACTTAAACATGTTCTAGGTAGATGAACCTAACCAAATTATTGATAGGCACTACAAACAGCACATTAAACATAAAATTCAATGTAAACGGAAAGCAAGAAAAAAGATAGGTAGGCATTGAATTAACCTTAAAGGAGCCAGCAGTTATAAAATCACAAATGATGACCATCTGACTATAACTTTTCCATTCTCCTACCATCCATAGAAGTGATAGTCCCTGAATACAATTTTGTATCGGTTAATTTATAACGGTCTGAATGGTTTAAATAGACGCAAAAGATTTTTTTCTAAAGCATATCATGTACAGTCAACGAGTAATTAACATTTTAACAACAGTCTACATGATGAGAAAATGCTTCTCCTAATTCAGCCTTCAAACTATGTCATACTTATCATAGTGAACAAAACAGATATATTTATAAACGTTTTACATCATCAGATCTAGATTTAGACAACTGGTACTTAATTTCTGATGAGAAACAACCTTTCTATTTTGATATGTTCAATTTAGTGAGAGAAATCAACCAACCATAATTTAGGTTTGAATTTTCTGCAAGGTACACATTAAAATTTAAGTGCAAAATATTTTATTTATTTGAACAGTTTGGTGCGTATAAAGAATATGACCTAGCTCATAGTGAGGGAAATGAATTCGTTTAATTTCATACTGTTTATAATTGTATTGCTGTATCATATTCTATGAAAGCAACTAGTTGCATAAAATTAGTCTGATACACTCGTCCAGACAATACAGTTCTAACATAACCAGTCTTTAAATTATCATTATTATTATTAATACTATTAAAGTAGCATTCTAACAATTTGCAGCAAATCATGAAAACCTCTAAGCCTCTTTTCCGTCAGTAAGCTAATAAAAATTTCCGGTAGAACCCATATAGTTGATTTATATTTGTCCTGAATTTTCGAGGAACAGATCATTTGAAATCATTTCGGATTAAAATATTTCTTTACATAAATATCAATTAATAAAACAGCAAACTGGTACTCTCTCTCTCTCTATTTGTCATTCTAGGAACTTATTGCTTTCGGGCTGACAAATACAATTAGTTCATTTTTTCATGCATATCCAGCGGCTGCATCATTATCTCGCTCTGCTGTTGCTGTATCTGCCGGTGGACGAACACAAGTTTCCAGTCTTTTTTCATGTTTACTACTCATATTGGTTTTGTTCTTTATTGGACCAACGCTTTATTGTGTGCCTATTGTAAGTTGAATTTCATTTAATTGAGAAAAAATTACGTGTTTTTATGAAGTCAATCGCAATAAGTTATGTGTTTACAAACAAAGATACAAATAAGACATGTGGTATATAATCTGATGTATAGAAGATATTTCACTTTATTAAATGTTTTCTTTTAAACTGAACCTTAAACAACATACAATCCATAATTGTGTAGGCCATAATACTTTCTACCTATTCTAGTTTGCATCAGTCTCAGAAAATTCCAAATCTTCCGTACAACATACTTCCATTATCCAATATTTTGATCATGGCTTATAATAACGCGAACATGGCATCAGTGGTCCGATCACTTTGAATTTATACAAACTTTCAAATCAAAAAGATTATGAAACCAGTAACTTTATCTTTTTGTATTAACCATAAATTTGATTGTTCTATATAGCTTAGTTCAGTAAAAACGCTTCAAGTAGACTTGTAAATTTAAATTAATATCTTTTGGACTGGAAAATAATTTAGTCATTTTGATGATAATACGCGAAAACCTTTCGGTATTTTCAAACCTTAAGTGATAAACTAGAATCTTTGTGAGGATTTGGACAAATCAAAGCAAATAGATATAGTCGGGAGTCTCAGAGAATGATGATGACCTATGGATGAAATATACACGTTGTTCACTCAAAAATATATTATAATTTGATTACAAGTATTATCACTATACATATACAGATTTAAAAACAGCTTCATATAATTAGCTAACTAATTACTGTTCAATACAAGTACATTCTTTCAAATTACATCACACTACTTTAATCTACCATTGCTATTTTTGAACCAATCTATTTCTTATCTTTTTATTTGTTCTAAAGTGCTGTCTGTCGGCAATTATTATTGTTGCTATTAAAGGAATGTTTATGGAAGCAAAAGATTTAGTAACGTTTTGGAAATTTTCTCCATGGGACAGTGTAAGTTGAAATGATATTGCCGATAATACATTATTTATTGGTTTTGCTCATCATTCATCATGATAAAATCACCATCCTCTAGTCCTACATGAAACGGATAAGGTGAACACGTCATTCTGGATTAATACTTTCAAGTGTACACTCTTTCGTGTTCTCCTGATCGATAAATCATTTTAAATAAACTGATCGTTCAATGCTAATGTTTGTAAAAAATCATTAGAAATATTTACTGATACGAAATGAGTAGACTATTTAATGATAAACAGATACATCGGTCATTGAATTTCATGCTCATTGAAAAATAATCTTCTTTTACGCTTAAAAAAAGACGAATCTAAACAGATTTCGTATTTTTTTGTTCATTTTAATTCAATATATGTAACTTTTCTAATAAACTCTAGTTATGTATGCCACATCTGTTCGTTCAAGAATGAGGGTTTCGTTGGTGTGTAGGGAAGAAGAAACTGAAACATCACGGAGGTCTTTCAAGCATACTAACTGTGGTTATTGATCAGGGACTTCATCTTTGAGTTATCGACGAGTTTGAACTCAATGATAGAGATTGGAGGACATGAGATAAATCATTTACACTATAACGAGTGTAATCTTACCATAAATTTCTACAACAGATTTTAATTGACTGGCTGTGTAATCTATATCAATGGGATCACTTACTTAGAAATTACCATGACTGTCAGATCAGATGACGATATCAATCGCCTGCATATTATGTGATGACTTATAGTTTGGAAATTTCAAACATATTCAGAAGCTCAATAATCCCTCATTCAAACTGCGTTTTATAAAACGAATGGTTCGGTATTTAGCGCCCAACAATTTGGATGTTACGCGCATTGTTATATTCTACTGTATCCGACGCAAAATAAAATGTTAAAACATTATTTTATTAAATCGGGGATACGATTACTTCCTTAAAAATATTTCTCATTTATTGGAACATATTTATTCAAAATAGCCACGGGAATTTTCAAAATTCAGGCTGTTTAGCTTATTTAAAACAATTGGTCCCTTTTATAAATTTTGATAAAACAGTGAGAAGACGTAATTGATCTGAAAAATGTGATATATCTGCGCTATACATTTCGAACAAGTTACTGGACATCTTCTATAGTCTTCAGAATCACAGTGTACTAACTCATGAACCAGAAAATAATAACCGATTGCCTTTTTTAGACGTACTGTTGAGTCGAAGGGAAAATGGCACTATAAAGTGTTCTGTTTATAGAAAACCAACCTGGGCTGGACAGTATCTAAATTTCAGCAGTTTTTGTCCACCGCAATATAAGCGAGGTTTGGTAAAATGTCTCTTCAATAGGTCTCAAAGGATTTGCACCACGGATACATTTGACGATGATGCGAAATTCTTAACTGCAGCATTGATTTCAAACGGCTATCCGCTAAAGTTCATCAATAGATGTAGAAATCAGTTAAGACAAAAGCAAGTGTTTGATTCTGCTGAGAAGAAAAAGGTTTATATCACTTTACCATTTAGAAGTGAAGCAAACGGTCTAATCTTAAGACAGAGACTTAAAGTAGCCATAGAGAAAACATACAACGCTGCTAAACTGATTATTATTTGACATATACCTAAAGGTTGCTCGAATGATCACATCACTTCCCATTGCATTTATCAATTTACATGTTTGTGTGGACACATACGTAGGGAGGGGTAATCGGACTTTGCAATCAAGGGTTATGGAACATGTACCTAAGTGGCTTCAAAATCAGTTAACGTCAGATGAGCCGATTAGCCTTGGGAACAGAAAACTATGTTCATCGATCGTAAAACACATAATTGAGGCAGGGCAAAAGATTGACATCAAGACAGCCTTCCAAACAATGTATAGAAATGTCGAATAATGAATTTTGAGGTTTATGGAGGCCTTGGCTATTAGAAAATTAAAACCCCCTTTATGTGTTCAGAAACGATTTGTCATAACCTTGAATTTACTCTGGTAATCTTTAAGCCTAAGATAATGTGACAATTTTCCTACCCTTTCTTATTCTTTTCATATTAAGTTAATTTTCTCTCTCCTTTATTTACAATTATCACCTTATGTCTATTTGAACTTTTATTTAATTTACCTTTTATAAATCTGTTCACCGATCTTCCTACTATCCACTTGTACTTTTGCCTTTTTCATTTCATTGTGATTATCACTCAAATTGCCTTGATTGGTTTAACATTTTCATATAAATATTCATGTATATTAGAGTAAAGCCTGATGACGATCTAATCGAAAACAATATTGTTCGCTTATATGTGTTGTTCTAACTTTTATAAATCTTCATATAAAATGCCTTGACAAGTAAATATGTGTGACCAAATTGTTCGAAATGTATTGCGCGCAAATACATCACATTTTTCAGATCAATTACGTCTTCTCACTCTTTATCTTATGCCCCTGTTACATGTTTGACTGACACATTAAGGTAACTAAATGACCATTGGACATTTCAGAAACAGGAAGAAATATAATGTGTCCTAATGTAACACGTAAGGAAGGTAATCTGTCATAGGGATTGAATTGCTGTAAATAATATAAAGTTTTAATGATTCACATTCGACTATTGATTTAATCAATGCAAAAAATCTCTGATTCTGTTAAGTGATAACTTGGTTAAAACGAGACTCAAGATGAAACTAAATCATGGTGATCGGTGTTTAAGTATATTCAGATTTATCATTTTAATTACACCGGAAACACTAACAGACTCAGCAGCTTCGTTTGCATATTATATATATATAAGTATATATATATATATATATATATATATATATATATATATATTTCGAAACCATGAAGCGATCAATGTTAGATCACCATTAGAAACCTGGGAGAGCTGGACGGCCGTTTCGTCCTGGTATGGGACTCCTCAGCAGTGCGCATGCACGACTCCTGCACCCCGCAGGATTCGAACCCAGGACCTCCGGTATTGTGCGCGAACGCCCTAATCGTTAGACCACTGAGCCACTACCCAAGGGTGCTAATGTCTAACTTGATCAAATTCACAGAGTTGCGCAACCTCATACACAGTCTTTGGTAGACACTGCCTACACCCGAACAGGTTGAACTTCACTGGTCACGTCTTCCCACTAGAACTCGGAGAAGATTTCTAACGAAGTTAGTCACTAGTGAGCACAGGTAATTTGCATCACGGGGTTGTGAAGATTGTTAAGTTACACCGAAGGTCCTGGGTTCTAATAGTGATCTAACATTGATCGATTCATGGTTTCAAAAGATGTGTAACTTAACAATCTTCACAACCCCGTAATGCATATTATATATATGCAATGCTGATAAGTAATGAGTAGTTACTTGTTTACCATAATTAGTCAAATCTATTCATCGACGTATTGAGCCTAAAAAATATTTGTGTTTTCCTATTTATTTGTTTTCGACTAAACTATTATCATCAGTAAAAAAGTCTGCTTCATATATCTGAAACATGTTTAAAAAAACACTTTCACTTATATTACAGATTGTTTGCATAAAACTACTGACACAATGTTCAACCTGTCCTTTTATACTCATATTTGTTTTATTTTTAGGCAGTCTGGATGTTCACATTTCTTTGTACTGTATTGTTAAGTGTGAACTATGGTCTTCTACTAGGTATCATAATCTCGGTTGCAGTTGTTGTATTAAGAATACAATGGCCTAAAGTGCACACTGTTGAACAAATTCAAAATACAGAAATCTATGTAAATTATAGGGATTATACAAATGTGAGTGTGATTTGCATAATCGTCTTATTGTATAGTGTATTTTTATTGTTTGAATATCGATTATCAGTTATTTACTGTGAATATAATCTGTGAAGAATAGATACTGAAACCTGATTTAATTGAAAATATAAAATTAAGAAACCGCGAAAGATTGGGGATGATGTAACCGAAAACGTGCCTGAAAGATTAATCGATCAAAGGCGACAGAGATTTACAAAATTTATGCCGCCAGACTACCACACTTCAGTTTACAAGTATCACACTGCGAGACTTGAACATTCATAACTTCATCTGAAGTGTGGAAGCAGCGTCGAGAAATCTTGAGATATTTGAAGATGTCGTCCAATGTTTCATTACTGAAATCAGTATGTTAAAAGTCGTCGAACAGGAACTTATCATTGTTAAATAATTGTTAAAATATTCAAATTATTGTCTAAGGGGATAAGAGAAATGATTAGTTCAATTTTAGCGTCACATAATCATGCTTTTGTCTGTAATATTATTTGTATGATATGAGTACCTCTTTCTGTCTTTTTTATGTAGAAACGTGTACCGCTTTTGTTTACTGCACAACCAACACTAAAAAATGTTTCATTATATCTGAACCATTTGCAAGCAGTCTAAATCTTAGAATAGAAATATCAAAAGCTTTAGGAAGTACAAAATAACTAACGATGATTTTTGTTTTGATAAAGTGTAAAAATAAGGTTTGTTAGTTGATTTTTGAAAATTTTATACAGATCTGCACTTGAGTAACTTCGTCGATTGATATTAGAACACAGCTTGTAAGAACGAAGTACTGGCGCAGAGTAACAGAGCTCCACAGGTAGAATGCATTAAGAGAAATGACATCTTTTTCGTTTAAAAAGTTACTGAAAGCATTTAGCCTTACCCTTTCTTTGAGTTAGATTCAAGACTCCCATCAGTGGTTTGCATATTCTTGAAACATACTAAAATTAAAATGAGACTTTTTTTCAGTGAATCTTGATTATCAACAGTTTTTCCATTGGTTTAAGAAAAACATAACGAGTGACCTGATATATTTGCCTTTTTAATGTGTCAAATCATTCCAATAATTTTCATAATTACTCATTCATGTTCTTTCTATTCTACAAAATTATAGCTTACGAAACATGATAAAATTAAAATAATTCGTTATGAAGGAAATTTATTCTATTTTTGTGCTGAACATTTTCGTGACACAGTTTACTTGCAAACTGGAATAAACCCAGTCGATGTAAATTTAAAATTGAACCGCTGTTTAAATAGAATAAAACAAATTGAAAATACTTTACGTTTAGCATCTCAGTCCATGGATATTGAGAGTAATCAATCAAATAATCGTTTGACTAATGTAAGTGAAATGAATACTACAGAGGAACCAACTGTTCAATTAGCAACATGTAGGTAAATGCGATATTTTTATTTGTAAATCATTGATTTTACTTTGTTCTTTGTTGATTCTTTTATTTCAACCATCTTATATGACAAATAATAACTACAGTTGTCAACTAAACAGCTGAAATAATGATACTTGACAAACAACAAATTTGGTTTATCTTACGATAAATCTTCTGATTATTATTTCAAAAAGCTTCAATATTTGCATTGTATTTTCATAAGAATAATCAATCAATAGCAACGTAGAACTTCGAACGTATGTACATCAGTTAGCACACCACGTTAGCACACAGATGTAATTGTCAATTCAAATTCCATAGTAGTAGATGTAGTAGATGTATTAGCAGTAGTCGGAGAGGTTAGGATTAGAAGATATTATTCAAGAAGTAGAATCTAGTGAACTAGACTAAGAAAGATAAAGATAAAAAAATAAAGAATCAAAAAGTTTAGGATTTGAGAGAACACAAAGATTGAATGCACCTGCTCCATTGTAAACGGTTTTGAGCCATGTCATTCAGGTTATCTAACCATCGATTACTAACATCTCGCAGACTACAACCAGGTAGTCGACACCTACCAACATGCCTCAGTCCACTTGTCAGTAACTTCATGGATTTCTGTCATGTTTTGGTCTGGACACTCCTAGCTTTCGTCCAACCTATTCCTACACTACAAAACAAAGCTCGACGAGGCAGTCGGTGGTTAGGCATACGCAACACATGTCCCAACCACCTCAACTGATGAAGTTTCAGCACTTCGTCTATTGATCTGCCATCCTTACCTAGCACACGTCTTCTAATAACAGCGTTGCTCACTCGGGTGTCCCACGATATACGAGCAATGCTTCGAAGACACCTATGATCGAAAACCAGTAACCGACGAATATCTTCTACTCTCACTGGCCATGTTACACAGCCATAAAGTAAGACGGAGCGAACTACTGAGCAGTGCACTCGTCATTTAGTCAGCAAACGGATATCTCGTCTACGCCATAAATGAGGTAAGTTGACAAAAGCCAATCGAGCCTTCTTTATCTGAGCTGAGATTTCGTCAGTCACCAGGCCATCAGCACTGATGAGGCTCCCCAGATAAGTGAAGCGGACTACATGTTCGACTACTTCACTCCCTATCATTAGTTCAAGTGCCAATGTAACCCAATCTTGAAGCAACATTTTGCATTTCGAGGTGGAAAACCGCATTCCGAACATGCTTGCATTGTTGCTTAGGGTGGTCAGAAGACTCTGCATTTTGTCAGCGTCTTCACCAAGTAGGACCATGTCATCGGCATATTTTAAGTCAATAAGCGAGCCACCTGGTAGAAGGTCTACTCCTGAAAATTCAGACGACGATAAGGTTCTATCTAAGAGCATGTTTATGACAAAGTTAAACAAGAATGGAGAGAGTGAATATCCCACTTGAAATAAAGAATTCCGGTGACAGTTCGCCATAATTCTTTCTTCATAAATTTGTTTATTCTCATAAGAATCAACAAATTTACAAAGAAAGAATTTATGGAAACATTGCAATCACTGTAACTGCAATGAACTTCATTTAGACGAACACAGTTTCAAATTATGTACAAAAGTCAATTTGTAATGTTTTGTTTTTTTGAATGCATCAATTATATATGTAGTAAACTCTCTTTTATAACGTTATCCATACATTTTTGATGGACAAAATCAACATATGCAAAATTATACACTAAGATTATTTGCTATTAACTCTTGTTTAAGAGATAAATTATTGTGCACTCATATAAACATAACATTGTATTACTAATGTAAGTAACATAGACACTGATGTTCGAAACGATGGTTACTACATTCTGGCCCACTATGAATATCAATAGCTGGATGTAGATTAATGAGGCTTTAGGGTGTTGACCGAAAAGTAACACACATCGTGAATTTTACTGACAGTCATAGTTGAAATTTCAGCGAGCTATTTTCCAGCTGAACAGAATTCTTTTTGATACACTTTCTTAATTATCAAGGTCATTTATGGATCAGCTCAATTTTTGAATTTCATGTTAGAAATTTGTGAATTGGTGTTCGATTAATGTCGAAACGCAAAATGCATTTTGTTACAATAAAATCTAAGTAAAATGAAACATTTTGATAGTTTAATATTTCAATTTGATTTATGAATGTCATATTCATTTAGACCAATGAGAACCGAAAATGTGATCATTAATGACACTTAACATTGTCTCAGCGATTTTTTAAATAAGAGTCTTCTTTTCAATTTCTAAAATATCTCATTTAATTACTGAAAGTTATGTAAATAAACACTTAAAATGTGTGACCTAGTTACTGACTACACGATTCTCACATAATTTAAAATTTGTTACAGGAATGTCCAAGACCAAATAAAGTAGAGTGCAGACATTAAACAGAAAATCATAACCAGTTATGAGCTCAATAATTTATCTCTAGTTTCATGTGTTTTTATTATGAACTGGAAGGCGATTTTTCGAAATATAGAAAGATGAATCATTGTCTTACTAAAATTACTACTTACCCAAGTCTCTATTATTGACTCTTTAGTGGGGTACATGATAGATTACACTTTGTTCAGTGATTTAAAACTAAATGATCTAGTTTCCTTTGATTTCTCTCATAGATAAACTGCCTTGATTTGTATGTGTACCATCAGACATTTGTCAGTTTGAATGAAAATATTAAATAAATTTTCTAATGATCGATAATACTTTACTGAGATCTGTTTAGTCACGTTTTTGAGCACACCTTTTTCATGTTTCTGAAATCAATCATTTAATTTAACAATCGTATAAAAATCTTAATAAACTGAGGCGTTTACTCAGTGTTACTGATGAAAAGAACCTGAAGGAGAATATCACAAAATAATTCAAATATTGACTGAGCACATTGTTGAAAAAAATAAAATATAAGTTTTAACTACCTCAACTTATGTAGAGAAGCCCTTCACACTCTGAACATTGTTTTAATGTACAAACTTTAATTTTTGAAATGTCCTCTCTAATATATTATCCATAAATACCCACTTGTTGTATTTTACTTGATGACTCGAATGAATGATACGTAGCTTGTCAATTCACCTAACACTAATCTCAACATATAAGTCCAGCATAGAAAGTAGCAATCAAAATGCAAAATCACAGTACTGAATTCTGCTCATCTATATGCTTTTATTATTTTTCTCAGTGAAAACTATATCTTCCGCCAATTTTTGAACCTAAGTCACCGATTATCAATTAATATATTGCTTGGACAATGTTATAGATATTAAAACAAATCAAACGGATATTTTACTACTAGGTTTCAAACTTAAAAACCATAAAATTAGAAAAGATAACCCATTTTTGATTTCTTCGTTCAATAGATTTGGAAAATTATGGACTAAACAAGAGATCAATGAATCACTAAAATTATCACGGTCATCAATATAGTAATCAACACATAAGATCATAAAAAGACTGTTTAAGATGTAGAACCAGAAAATGGAAAGATGAACTATATGAAAATAATTATGTAATAATTCGGAACGATGTACACATTTCCAAAGATTTACATGAGGAAAACATTACGCAGTGAGTGTTAATCGTTTCAAATAATTACTAAATGCGAAAAACCCAATCCAATCTTGTTTTTTGGACACAGTCGATACTGAACTCTAAAAATAATTACTCATAACATCGAAATGAAACAGTTATCACTTAAATTATGAATAATCCCAACTTGAATTAGTTTTCTTAAAATTTGACTTAGATATTTGTCCATACTCTCTAGTTTCATCGGACACATTGTTTTACAATTATTATTCAATACATTTTCGGCAATTTTCTCTGTGTATATAATTTCAGTCACAAATGACACAGATAACTTTATTGATGACATTTAAAAGCTCACTTATTCGTTCGTATTGATCAGTTACAAATATTCAACGTAATTTTATTTTTCTGCCTCATCACAACTCTTCGTTATTTTGACAATATGCATAAACAGTGAGTAATTCCACTATTTCAACGTTATAAGCAGTATCTTTAGTGTTCAACATAAAATGAATGAAGAGACTGTAAGAGATAATTTACTAGTATCTCAAATAATTTATCTTTTGTTATAATTTTATTATTTTCTTTCTTTTCAAAGCTTGTGACACTAATCAACAATATTCTGATGATAACACAAATGAAAAAAATTCTAAAAATAATTTATTTCATCGTTTAAAACGTAACAAACCATTAACATTAGATGAAAAATTAAAATTAGAAATTGAACGAACAAAACAAATTGAAAAATTGAAAACTATTAATCAGTCGCTAACATTTGATTTTTTAATATTCGACTGTTCATGTTGGACATTTATTGATATCGTTGGAGCAGATGAATTAAAACAGGTAAAATGAAATATTTTGTATTGACTTGCTCATGTAAAAAATTATGCAAATCAGTTCTAAAGGAATTACAGACGAGTTTCAGTGTAGAGCTAAATTCGATTTAATATTTAACAAAGTTATGTACTACTTATTACTATATTTCGAAATGATTAAACATGAAATAAGTTTTTTTCTCATGCTTACGTTGATGGAAAATAAATCATGCTTAGGTATAAATTTACTGGCCACTGAGTAAAAATCAATTAATATCGTGAATGATGTCTACATGTATATATATATATATATATATATATATATATATTATATATATATATCAGTGGTATTTGTTGAATGCACGATTATCATGGATATTTACCGTGTATGAAACAAAACAGTATGAATTGAAAAATTTCAGTGTCACATAAGTTGTAGTGTATCAATTTTTATTGTATAATGAGCATCGTGTAATGAATACGGTGAAGATATTTTCATTCCTCATATTTTCAACTGCATCACTAACTGACACACTGAAAGATGCTAAAATTTGTTTATGACTTAATGTTGTTTTATTTGTTCATACATTAATCTTCAGCGACGTTTTATGGATAACAGCACTAATGTATAATAAATGTAAATTTGAACGATTACATATTCACTAATTAGTTGAATAGTGTCAGTTGTCCAATTATATGATTCAAGTTCTTTGATCACCAAGTTAAATAGGATTTCGAACATCCGAGTACATACATATATATGTTCATAACAGTTCTATCAACATGTTAACTGTTGTTTATTTTAGGTGATAGATAGCTACGAGAAATTGGGTATCATGGTTTCATTCGCTCAGATAAAAGGTATGTTGCAGGAAGTGTACATTTTCGTCATTCAATATACACATGTACATATAACTTAATAGCAGACTTACATTATAAGCGATTTTTCTATTATGTTATTTCAATTATTAAATCGAAATTAATGTTATAAATTCAGAAGAAAAGTTGACTCATTAAAAAAAATTGTTCCTATATTTTATTGAAAAATACATTCTACGTCTAGTCAATTAACTAAAATTTGGGCGTTATTCGTTTGATTGATTCACTACTGTATTTCAAATCATTGTTGATGACGCACATATTTGAATTGGTCACATTAGATTAAATATTCAAGATTCAAAGATATTCAACTCTAATTCATGATATTAAGGAGATATAGAAATAAGGAGGATCAAATTCAGACAAACACAACATGTAACATTTCCCAATCGTTTGTTGTATGATCCCATATTCTTGCTTTCAAGAGATGTTCAAAATATTTCTGCATTGAATAAGTAATAGTCATTTGATCAATTGGTATTAACATTAAATACTGTTTTCATTCAGAAAAATTCAATGATTCCTTTACAGTGTTATGTTAGATTGATTACTTTTGTGTAATTTAATTGTACTAAAGTATTTATAATTAAACAAAGATTGTTAATTGTGACAGTATGAAACATTAGTGTCAAACATGCTGCGCAAAACATTTGTTTACTAGTAAATTTAAATACAGTATTAATCGAACCCTTATTTTACATACTGTGTGTAGTTCTTCAAAAAAAGGAAGATTAATCATCTGTTTGTAGATGATATATTGAAACTTTAAATAATGAGATTACATATCTTAGCTCTAATTCGGTAATATATATGTTTCTTGCTATTTTATAAGTAAAATATACAGTAGAAATAATCTATATTCAAAGTTTCTCCAATCACATTAGATTTGATTATTAATTTTCACAATGTCCAGTCAAGATTGATAGATAAAATGCTGGAATAGTTTGACTACCGATCACCGAAATTAGAGTAAATGTAATGAGTATTTACCAATAATGTTCCATACTCAGGTGACCGATTTCTGCTGAACTATGTATTTTTTGGAAATATTAATGAAAATTCACATTACACAATCAATATTCTTTATAAAAGTGTAATTACACATTTTTGAAACCATGAATCGACCAATGTTAGACCAGCATTAGAAACCTGGAAGCACTGGACGGCCGTTTCGTCCTGGTATGGGACTCGTCAGCAGTGTGCATCCACGACTCCTGCACCCTGCAGGATTCGAACCAAGGACCTTCAGTATTGTGCGCACTGCTGATGAGTCCCATGTGCCAGGAAGAAACGGCAGTCCAGTGCTTCCAGGTTTCTAATGCTGGTCTAACATTGGTCGATTCATGGTTTCAAAAATGTGTAACTTAACAATCTTCACAACCCCGTAATGCAAAAGTGTAATTGTTGTACTCATTGTATTTTTCCATTTTAGATTATCTAATTCATACTTTACGCAATAATAATAAAATCGGTGATTCGAATAAAATCTATCCAACTGTTCATGATGCAGTGAATGATGCCGTCTATCGATTGAAAACAATGAAAATTAACGAAGAAAGCAAACTTTCGAAGCGTACAGAAGTGGATATCACCAAGAAACCATCAATCACATTGCAAGTAATTTATTGAAGAAAAAAAAGAAAATTTTAATTGAATTTTTCAAAAAAAACAAAAATGCTACCTACATATTTACTGTTAACAAGACACATTTGCTAATTTATGAAATTATCTATTTTTTTAAAACTGAATATAAATAATTTCATTGTATGTATGTGAAAATAATTTGTAATCATGATATCATTTCTATGCAATGACCGTTTCTGGTCTTTTGTTAACAATTGTCACAATAGTATGAAACATTTCAATCAAATCATTGATTAAATGAAGTTTCAATTAGAAATGAAACTTTATTTTTTTCTAAAAAAACAACATTAGATAAACTAACTTAGGGTTGACAATATGAAGATATTACATAGATTGTGGTGTAATTCCTTTTTTCAAACATACAATAAAGATTTAGACATTAAGTGTGTAATGATGAAGACAAAATATCAACCTTTTTTTGTAATATGGACCTTATTATTAGATCTGATTATCTATCACCATGTCTTACTTGGTAGCATTTCCCATTATTCATGCCTCATACTCAAAATAAAAATATAGTTTAGTAATAAGTAAGTGCTAAATATCTGATACTATATAATGATATGATTTTTTATGGAATCTCTGTCCTTCCAGATATCTGACACACTTCACACACATTGAAAAATCTAAAAACACTAATACTATCGAATTGATACAAAGTGTAATTGCATTCCGGTAAACAATAATTCTATTCCTAAATCAACTGTGTCTGTCAACTGTCGGTAGTGAGGAGTGAGATTGCTGAGAGCAATGATGCTGTTAAATTTATACGTAGCAATAAATAAACAAGTATCTTAATTTGTAAACAGAACGAAAGTCAGCAACAATACAACAGCGATTTCAATGTTGATATTTATGGGTGGGAAGCAGTTTTAAGTGCAATGGCTGCAGTTAACCGAGTTAAAACTTATGTGATGGTAGTAACAAAAATACCAGATACCGTGATGTAACAAGAGATGACCAATCATAAAGTAGTTATGTAATAATAATAATAATAATAATAATAATTTTATTTCCGCACTAGTTAGTACTTCAGCCATAATACTTTAGTATTGTTTCAAAGCTATTTTGTTAAATTTTGGCACTATGTTAGTTATCTATGCATCATTCCAGCCTTGTGCCTATTTAACTTACTTAACTTCCGTGAATCAAAAACACTTTTACATTAATACTTCCTAGACTTATATATATATTTATTGTCATAAGTTCAATCCTAGATACCGTGAAGAGGTAAGTCAAATAGACTTATATTTAAACAAAGGTTCAAATCTGTTATCAATAAAACTTATTACGCAGCAAATGTTATCATCATAGAAAAAACAAGGTTCATGCTTCATCGAAGCATATAAACGATTGTATCACGTTTCGGGTACGATTCGGCTATAATTGAACTATTCGAAACCAAAATATACATCTCACCGAACGAAATTCCACCGTGATCATCTACCATCGTGACCGTTGAAGTTCAAGTCTGTTGGGTGCAGGCAGTAACTACCGAAGACAATGGGTTGGGTTGCGCAAAACTTTGGATTTGTCAAAGTTAAACATTAACACCGTTGTATACGGGCCTAGTGACCTGGAGGTCAAGCTTTTGCGTTCGATTCCTGAGAGCAGATGTCGTGGATACGCACTGCTGACCAGTCCCAGACTAGAACAAAACGGTCTCCCAGTGCTTCCAGGTTTCTAATGGTGACAAAAAAACGATGGATTCGTGATTTCAGTGAGTAGTCAAATGACCCAATACTAGTAGACAAAAAAATTCCATCGTTTTCTTTTGCTAAAAGCATAGTTGAGACAGGTCATACGTTTGATCATAATTCGACTTTTGTATAAAAGTATTTAATGACGTATTTTAAGGTTTATTGAAGCCTCGACCATATGAAAGCTTAAACCACTTTTACGTATTCAAAAAAATGTATTCTCACCTTAAACCCACCTTGATAATATTATGTTATTATCCAAAGTAGTTAGTTTCACATTGTTTTTCACATTAATTTTATTTCTTAACCTTACATTACATTTGTCTAGTTAACCTTTTATTTTCATAAATAAACTTTCTAAACAAGTATATGTTTGATCAGACTGTTCGAAATACATTGCGCTAGTATATTACATAGTTTTCATAATCTTTATCTACTCATTACACTTGACATAGTTATCAAAAGGACTTATATTTTGCGTGTAGAAATACTGTTTGAATGAAATATCAGTGTGACTAGCAATTCGTAATGTTTTGTGTGTAAAAATATAAACCTGAAATTGTGAATGAAGTACATCAACTTCTCATAGTGATGAATATGAAGTCATTTATTTAGATTGAACATTTTTTCATCAAGACATTGCAAGTCATACGTATGTTTTCCAACTTCATGTTCCAACTACTATAATAAGTAAATTCGATTAGATAACAATAAAAATAAGAACAAAACCACTAATATAAGAGAGCTTTGTTTAAAAGATTCAATATATTTTTAAATTCTGTATTGATCAATGAAATAATATACAGTTAGCAATCACCAAACCCGAGAATGAATTATAAACGTTTATTATTGTTCTAACTAATGACACATGATGAATGTAACAATTGTACACAGTGAACTATTGAGGAGAACAAAACAATGAAAAAAGAATATGACAGACTAGACTGGATACTATAGACATCTGTATACAATAAGTATTCCAATGTTATTACCAATTACCACAGTATATAACGTAACATTACGAAAATAATAATAATTATCGTCAATGTTCAATTTAAAAAAGAAAGAAGGAAAATACGCATAACTTCTGCAAGTGTTTTCAGATTAAAATCATTGAGGTATAGAGAAATAATTACAAAAACACAGTCATATCATACTATATATATATATATATATATATATATATATATATATATATATATATATATATATATATATATATATATACTAAGTATTATAAACTTCAAATCACCGAGTTACAAAGAAGTAAATACTGAAATCATCTCATTTTGGCAACAATAATCGGAACCTGAGAAAATGTATTAGTTCTGGGAATTTTTTTTTGTAACCTAATAAATACCGAATTTCGCTCCAAACTCTTTTCGAGATTGTGTAAGCGTTGTTTTTATCGGGAGCAATTCACAGGTCGGTTTGGAAGTGTGCAATTTGTTGTTCAGACGACAATTAAGAGCAAATGAATATGCTGCCTCTTGCCATGGTAACTTTTTCGGTACACTTTTTGTAAGAACCGGTGTAATGCATGATGAAGTTTCTGTATCATTCAAAGAAAGTGCTTCATTAGATGTTATACTTGATGAGTGTGTAGGTGTGGTTTTTGACTCTTTGAAATTATCCATAGTTTTAGCTTGTTTTAATTGGTTATATTGTTTAATTATATTCATTAAGATGAATTCATTCATAGATTTGTTTGAATAAATTATATTCGTATCATAGATATTTTTATAATGTGCTAGTGAATGCATAGAATCCACCTCATAGTCCATATGATCACGATGAGTGTTCAATGTAAGATGACCATTTAGTGTTTCATCTGAGTAGGAATACTAGAAAAGTAGAATTTAGAAAAACATGATAAAAGTTATAATAGTTTGACTGCCTTTGTTAGAATTAATAAATTTATTGAAGAGATATAAGGATACTTATTCATAACTTATGTGATTTAATTAAAATTACTACCAGTTACCAAAATGAACCGTTAAGGCATTGAATGCGCAGCAATCGCAAAGAATTTCAATCAATTTTCTTCAGTCAGTTATTGCTGTCACTACACTGAACTAGAGAAAGGATTCGATTAGATAAGGTGTGCTTTACAACATAATAACCAAACTTAGGGTGGTTAAAACATAATACACCAGTAATATATAACATAATGAACCTATTTGAAGTAACGATCCAAGAGTTGAAAAATTAAAGCTTAAACTGTCGGATTATTAGGTATTAAATAAGAAAATCTTGAAAACATATTACTGTTTCCTATAAAAAAGAATATAGCTCATGCCTTACATTTCATCTTTGGCATTCGTTATGTATTAGATGAAGCTATACTCATCACCACAGTGATTATAATGTTTGAAATCTAATTATCTGAAAAAATAAATTTTTTTTACATTAGAATATACCTTGAAAATAACCTGTTAACCTATTTATTACCAACCACCTTCAAAACGTTACTATATATACTTCTTAAAACGTTCGAAAAAAATCATTTTCGATATATTACACTTGCTTGGCCTCTCTAATGTAGGTATAGTATTAAGTCATCAGTCAGAACTAACTCTCCTAGACAGTTGTTTATGCGCTGTTCGACTAAACGGGACGTTAAGGACTCGGAAAGATAGGGGAACTCGCCGTTGCCTCTTCGTCATATCTGCCTACGCTATCACTGACTGCAGTTCAGACGACAGAAACCTCTCTGAACTTCTGCAAAAAGTTGGGCGCTCTGATATGGTAATAGTGGCTGGTGACTTTAACGTTCAAGTAGTTAGACACTTGGGTGGATCTTACGGTGTCACGGCCCGAAGAACAGATAAGGGCGACCGTATGCTGCAGTTGTACTAAGATTACCGCCTATTTCTGGAATACACTAACGTTAAGCATAAGGAAAAACATCTCTTGACCTGGCGACCCACAAAGCCGATCGTACGATGGACCCAACTAGATGACATTGCCACCAGCAACCGATGGAGAGGCTCGATAGAGGATAAATGCTCGAAAAATTATCCCGCCTTTTTCTGACAAAAAAAGCCATGGAAAAGGGTAACTGTATCGCTCCTTCACAACCCATGAGATTGGATCGATGGGCAGAACACTTCAGGGATAATTTCAACTCGCCTTCAGCGACACTACGGTTGCTCACGATCTTCAGTCATCCTGAATGGCAAACCGATGTCAGTCCTCCTAGTTTTCTTGAAGTTGAATAGACTAAATGAAATCTGAAGTGAGGGAGAGCTGCAGGTCACGACAGTCTTACCCCAGAGATTTTTAAGGATGGTGGTCCTGTTTTGGCAGCTAGATTGACTGAGATCTTAGGTAGAATCTGGGAACTGGGAGTAATACCGTCTGAATGGTCTCAATCACTGATTATACTAGTCTGCAAAAAACGACAAAAGTCGTCTCATGACAATCACAGAGGAATAACTCTAACTAATAAAGTATCGAAAATATTGGTCTCAATAATACTCCGACGTCTAACTAGAGCTCGTGAAGAGCAGACTAGAGAGAACCAGGCATTTGACTCAGTGGATCGTGAGGTTCTGTGGCAGTGCCTGTCATTGAAAGGTGTACCAAAGAAGTACATTAACCTCATACAAGCTCTCTACTCGAACACCACTGGTCGAGTGAGAGCTTATGGAGAACTGTCACCGGAATTCTTTACTTCAAGTGGTGTCCGTCAGGGATGTCCACTGTCTCCATTCTTGTTTAACTTTGTCGTTGATATGCTCCTAGAAATAACCTTATCCTCGTCTGAATTTTCTGGAGTAGACCTTCTTCCAGGTGGCTCGCTTATTGACTTGGAATACTTGGTGAAGATGCTGACAAAATGCGAGTCTTCTGACCACCCTAAGCAACAATACAAGCATGTTCGGGATGCGGTTTTCCCCTTCGAAATGCAAAATGTTGCTTCAAGATTGGGTTGCATCGGCACCTGAACTAGTGATAGGGAGTGAAGTGGTCGAGCGTGTCGACCGCTTCACTTATCTTGGGAGTCTCATCAGTGCTGATGGCCTGGTGACTGACGAAATCTCAGCCCGGATACAGAAAGCTCGAACGGCTTTTACCAACTTGCGTCACTTATGGGGTAGGAGAGATATACATTTGCTCACCAAAGGACGAATGTAATGTGCAGCAGTTAGCTCTGTCCTACTTTATGGCTGTGAAACATGGCCAGTGAGAGTAGAAGATATTCGTAGGTTGCGATTTAATGATTATAGGTGTCCCTGAAGCATCGCTCGTGTATCCTGGGACAACCGAGTAAGTTATGTTGTTGTCAAGATACCAGTACTAGATAGGGATGGCAAATCAATAGATGAAGTATTGAAACTTCATCAGTTGAGGTGGTTGGGACATGTGTTACGTATGCCAAACCATCGACTGCCTTGAAGAGCTATGCTTTGTGGTATACGAGTAGGTTGAAGAAAGTTAGGGGCAGCCAAACCAAAACACGGTACAAATCCATGAAGTCACCGACAAGTGGACTGAGTCATGTTGGTAGATGTAGACTACTTGGTTGAGGTCCGCAAGAATATAGTAATCGATGGATAGAGACCTTGAATAACATGACTCAAAATTGTTTGCAATGGCGCAGGTGCATTTACTCTTTATGTTATCTGAAATTCTAGTCTTCTGAATTCCTTATCATCTCGGTCTTTAGCTTTCTAAAGTTATCTCATTAAATCATACTTCGTGAATAGTATTTTCGAACCCTAATCTTCTAAATTACCGCTAATACTTCTTCTACCTCTACCACTATTGTATTTGAACTGTTCTAATGTGGTATGGCAACATGAACGTATGTACTTACGAACGAAATTCTACGTTGTAACTGACCGACTAATAATTTGATTATATTTATCTACTAATAACAATTTATTAATTCCTCTTATGAAAGTTAAAACCTTCATTGGTCCATTCTTATACTCACTTTCATTGGTAAACTAATTTCTAAACTATTGAGCTTTGCTAATTCATGTAGTTTAGGTTTCATATTATTAGACTGTTTAATTGTTAATTTTTTACTGTTCAATTCATCGGCCGAAATTTTCACATTAGGATCATCATTTTCATCAATAGCAACAGACCAATCCGCATTTTCTTGCCAAGATTTCACAGCACCAATTAATTTCTGATTTAGACACATTGTAGGACTGGCATCTGATGAATTATTAACATTTTTGTTCAAATCATTTGGAGAAGCAGAAGTAGCAGTAGTAGCAGTAGTATAATTACTTATATCATCAATTTCATTGAGATTATTATCAGAAACATTATCTAAAGTACCATAAGAATCGAAGCTTGTTGACTTGACTGGACAATGATTATTTCTGTGTGATGTTTTAAATGACAGCGACGTCTAAAATGAAAATATATGTATATTGGTTGCAAATAAATAAATTGAGTCAAATAGTTGTTTACAATCTAAAATATGAAAAATTGCAGAGATTAAAAATATGAGTGGTTATTTAGAAACAAATGAATGAACACCGTCCAGTTGTTCTGAAGCAGGTTAACTGATGTGCCAAGTGTCCGAAAAACCATATCTTTAAATAAAGCATTGGAATATTCTGATTCAACTCC